GGAAAGAGAAATAAAGCAATTGTGTTATTTGTCAAATTTCCTCTTTGACTGCACATAAATAACTTTAATATCACAAAAAATGAAATCTATCACCAAGAAGAAAAATTCATAACGAAAAGGGAAAAGATATCTTTAAGAGGGAGAACATCTGTCTTGAAATCAGCCTTTGCAATACAGAGCAAGTCTGACTCCACAACTCTGACTTACAGTAAGAATTCATCAAAGTCAACAAAAATCCTCTTATTAGTAAGCTTAATAAAACCACACCCACAATTTGTGATTCTTGTTTCTGAAGTTCTGCAAAACAGAACAGAACAGAGTAACGGTCCATTATTCACAGCTTTAAGGGCAACGGACTCATCTCTATTGCCATCATGTCCAGATTTCTTTCTCTGCTAGCTCTGAATGATCCCAAGCTTAGGTATTCGCCTGGCCAAACGACATGACATGTTCATGACATAATTGGCAAGCTACAGTAAACAAGTCTGAGCAGTGAAAACATAGCAGCTTTTTTTCACAACGCAAGTCCAAGCAAGATGTGTTTATGCATCTGCACCAAAAAACATTGCTAGGCAATTTGTTAGCACAATTTGGAGGACAAGGACAGGCATTTTATGCTTTCCCTTAGGGACAAAGGTATGCAGAGCATGAGAACACAAGCCAAAGAAAGAAGAAGAAGGGGAAAAAAAAAAAAGTAACTTGGCATGCTTTTTACTACACATAGGCTTGGCTGGTCCCATCCATACAGGTAATAAAATCAGTGATAAAATCTGTCATAAAATGACTACAAAAGCAATTCACTCATGCCTGCGGCAAGACTGAAATATGGTACCTTTTCATATGCACAGAGATTAGCTATGTCCTAACAGACATAAACTATATATATAAAACCACTCAGGCAAGTAAGCTCTAAGTAGTTATAAATTATTACAATTTTTCTAAAAAAAGAGTTAATCATGGATAAAGTAACTAGAGCTAAAACAACATGGAGGTTACTGATGATACATTTTCAAACTCAATCAATTCTATTACATTCCCTAGGAACTCTCTATCTCTAAGCAACTATGCATCCCTTTCAAGGCATGGTAAAATCCTCAATAATATACTGACTTGCAGTTATCCATTCAAACTACTAAGGCCAACACGACTCCAGCCAGAATCCCAATTCTTCCGCTTAATGAGCTAGCTGAAACTCATTACTAATCTGTGAGGCTGAAAATCAGCCTTTAAACACTTTCACAGCCTTTAAACACTTTCAACCTTGCATACTATTGCAGCTTCTGACTTGCCTTAACCCATATGTAACACGAGATTACAAACTGGACAAAACTAAAACATTTATAAAATGTAGGAAACATACTTTACCTTTTGTGACTTCAACATCTTTTCTTGTACCTGATATATTACTGTATATCTTCCTAACAAGATCCATGTTATTCAAAAGGGCATTAAATGCATTGAAATAGGAGAAGCTGACCTGATGTGAAACAGTTCCACCAGCTACCTTTAAAAATTAAATGAATGCAGTTAAGTGCCTTAAGCCCTGTTACAACATCTTATTACAAATTACAGAAACATCCATTTGGGCAAATAAGGAAAGAATTAAAGCTATCTTTCTATTCTTGTAATTTTAAGATATTTTTAATAGAAACATGGGGGGAGAATTATTAGACAGGATACTATTTTTTGGTAAAAAATTAACGTTAGGAAACGATCAGGAAAGAATCATATAAGTAGATTATTATTCAATTTATCTGATACACATGCTAAATGTGTCACTGAGTATTTTTCTAACACTCTTTTTCAAATAGAGGAATGCACGTAAATGCTACTTTAGATAAAGGCACTAACAGACTTCTTGCATCACGTACAGCAGTGACCATTTATTTCAAAGTCCAAAGTTAGTAGATACTATAAATTTTACAGAAGATGGTATGCCTTATTAGTTAGACAAGGCAAGATTTATAGGTAAAATAGTAAGATAAAAGTTATTACTTCATATTTTATATCACTTTCATTCGTATATACTTTTTATACTATATACTTTCAGTTTGTAACTTTTATGTCATTTCTTTACCTATAGATCTTGCCAGACTATCACAGCCGTAACCATTCTACCTCTAGAATCTACATACTGATTTTCCGAATTCTGATCTGAAAAAGAAAAGAATGTAAGAGTATACAAAAGGACAAAACTGTAAGTAGCGTCCACCTTTTGAGATCTGTATATATGCAAATATAAAAATTAGATGCTTTTTTCCTAAATGAATGTTCTTTCTGTGTCAAGTACGGTTTTACAGTTTGCCCTGCTTTAGTGGAAAGTATAGCAGACTAACTCAAACTATTTCCAATGCACTTTAAGCATGTAAACCAGACTGCCAAACTTTTCCACTACTGCAGCCAAAGAATGCTGCCATGTTTCACCCTGCCCACTCCATTATGAAGGTGATAAACTGTAGCACCAAGGCAGTGATAAACAGATAGGAGAAGACAAAGTGGGAGAGAAGCAGTAACATCTTAAAACATTACAGCTATTAAATACTGAATTCAAGGCACTTTTCTTCACACTTACTGAAACTAAATTTTCTTCCACAAATGGAGTTAGCATATGCGAGCGAAGGGTAACCATGATGTCATTGAAGTCCAGCCCAGTTATCATACCACTTTTATTTTTGTCCTTCAATGCAAAGGCTTGTCTTGCATGTTCTGACTGCAGCTCCTAGAATAAATATTCAGAAATAGCAGATTGGAAGCAAATTCTGTAACTCTCTGTTCACAAAACTCTGACTAATTTCGTATTCTTACAGCATGCCTCAATATGTCTGTGCATGTAGACCACAGCACAACTACAGTTTAAACGTAAAGGCCAGCTCAACTCAAACAAGAAGTCTGCATATTGATTCTATCCACAGATTTATTCCTCTGTCAAAGAAAAGCCTCAATTCAACTGTAAGGAAATATGCACTTTCACTATATATTTTTGAGAAATAAACTTCACATACTCATGTCCTGTCTGCTATCTATTCCTTTATTAAATACTTAACTACTAGAGAAACTTGTATTATTGATCTTAAAGACTCAAAGTGAGCTGATCTCTTACACACTCAAGATGAAATATGACTGGGCTATTATAAACTAACTCATTGAAAAGTTCTTGAAAATAAACAGGAGGACAGTGAAAATTATATAATATAGATTTAGATTGCCCCCAACAGCTACCTCCCATAACATCAGAAGCGGTCACTCATTTCAGGCAATTTAAAACTCCTATACAATTCATAGAAAGCACACTGCAGTAACTTAACCTCAAGATAATAATGATCGTTGTAAAGTCTATGTCCAGAAAAAGTTGCTTCCTTCTATTCAAGCAAACAATAAAGCACATTCAGCTGTCATTCAGACCTCTAGAAGCAGCTAAAATAATAACCAGGTTCTGACAGACAATAAGAAGGCGAACTATTTAGCTTATATCACCTTTACAGTAATTTCTCAACTCTTATAACCTCAAGATCAAGGTTTTCTAGATCAGGATGCAACAAACCTGCTCTGATCCAAGTGCCAAATCCTACAAGATGCTATTAGACCAAATAAGAAAAACAGCCTGATCTAAAAGGAGGGACAACAACATCCAACTTATGTACATATTGAAATTACCACAGCCCATACTACCCTTCCCTACTAAGGGTTTTTATTAAATGAAGACAGCAAGAGGTTACTGTATCTTACATGACAGTATCTTGGAACAATAAACATAAAAACAGAACAGATATTTATCACTTTGCTCAGGGTTCCCAACAAAAAGATTCTTCTCACTAGCAATCTGGTTTTTTTTTGCACTAGCGTCCTGAACTAGTGCCTGGGATGGCTTAAAACATGCAGTATCAAATGAAGGCCAGAGTTTATTCCTTAAAAGTAACATCAGGTTATACCAGTCTTGAAAGACTGTGTCAAACTCCACTATCTCAATTTACAATATAGACTTCAGATCCTATCTAGTTAGACGTGTTTTTCTAGAATCTGCTCCAGATCTAGACACAGCTCAGTACAGGAAAGAAAAGGATCTGTCGGAGCAGGTCCAAAGGAGGGCCACAAAAATGATCAGAGGGCTGGAGCACTTCTCCTATGAAGAAAGGCTGAGAGAGTTGGGGTTGTTCAGCCTGGAGAAGAGAACGCTCTGGGGAGACCTTAGAGCAGCCTTCCAGTACCTAAAGGGTGCTTATAAGAAAGACAAGGAGGGACTTCTTAGTAGGGCCTGTTTCAAGAGGACATGGGGCAATGGTTTTAAACTAAAAGAGGGTAGATTCAGACTAGATATAAGGAAGAAATTTTTTACGATGAGGGTGGTGAAACACTGAAACAGGTTGCCCAGAGACGTGGTAGATGCCCCATCCCTGGAAACATTCAAGGTCATGTTGGACGGGACTCTGAGCAACCTGATTGAGTTGAAGGTATCCCTGCTCACTGCAGGGGGGTTGGACTACATGACCTTTAAAGCTCCCTTCCAACCCAAACTATTTTATGATTCTATGATCTATTTTTATCCTGGACAATAATTACAAATTATATCAAAGAACATCTATCACTCCCTACTTTTAAGACAGTATGTCCAAAACTATTTTGTACCAAAGGCCAGCTCTGGAAGTGCATAATCTATTTTTCTTCAGATCTACTAGACAGAAAACTCTAAGTTACATCACGAGGTAATCACTGCATGTTAATTTATGGAATTCAGTGCAATTACCTACAAATCTGTGAACTCCCTTCTCATTAATTGTAATGTACGTTTCTCCCACTTTCCTTTTCCTCCATCTTTTATAACTGATGTCTTCCTTTACTTCCTTCTAGTATAATGTTCAATTCATAATACATTTTTACTGTAACTTTTTGGCTTAGCACAAAGTCCAGTTCTACGAATGAAAACCCTTAAAGCAGGATCTCTAGAGGGTGCTTCAGCAATATCTCAGGAAAGCATATTTGCGTCCTGTGAAGTTGGCTGCATTTAAGATCAAACTTCCAAAATATGTATGGTTGCATGCATGTTAGTGAGAAAAAAGAAAAGGGTAAGTATTAGGATAACATTTATAAAACTAAAAGAAATGTTAAAGAAGTTGAAACCTTTATATGGGAGGTTATATGGTTAATGACTGCTGGTTATATTAAGGATGATATCTTTCTCTGGTGGAGGTTAGTTTTGCTATTAAATTCCTATGACAGAAAAAGCAGACCCTCAATCCAGTTTGACAACAATCAGTAAAACATTTAATTTCATAAACAGTATATTTAGTCCCATTCTTTTATAGGATGGTATTCAAGTTCAAGCACAATGAGCACACACTGCTTACAGAGCTGGTATGGAGAAATAACAACTCATCATAACTGTCAGGATTAGTATCAGGTAATGATTATCACTACCAGATTAAGCTCAAAATTTATAATGGTATTAGTGTATTATTAGAAGTGAAAATGAATTTCAGTTCTACATTGGAAGAAGGTTAATAACTGACCTGAAGAAACTGAGTGAACTCTGAATAGTTAAGATGCTTCTTCCTGTTATGTCCAAAATGCAGTCGAATGAACTCACAGTCCCAGTTGAAGGGGATTTGAAGATGAATAATAGTTTGTTCAAATATTTCTTTGACATTTGCTTTGGGGGAGGGAAAAACAACAAGTGAGCTTTGGGCTACAGTAAATCTTCAAACATTCCAGGAAGGATACAAACAAATGATGTTTTAAGCAGCTGTTTAAGAAGTGTTTTAGTTTGCTAAGAATAATTGCTAACCAAACCTTTACAAACCTGTATAAGAACACACTTGTGACACAACATGGTACTTTCTGTATTACTGCATAAAACCTCAGAGTGAGTGTTTTATTTAGTTTTAATTAAGAAGCAATTTCCCTCATACATGACAAATAAGAGCTATTTTGCATTCTGATATAAAAATCAATAGTGGTTCTCCATCTCTGCTAGGAGTCAAATTAAGCCCTTTATCAAGAGCACGAATACCTGCATTACAATCTCATGCAATATTTGTCATATTAAGTATGGTTTGATTGAAACTTGATTATTACAATCACACTGTCTGAATGTCTACTGAAGACAGGTATAAGAAATGACATCTAAAACATATCATTAACTCAGCAGAAAGCACCTTATTAGAAGCTTTTGATAAGGCCTTAGCACAAAAATCAAATCTTATAAAACATAATTGGTAGTCTCAGTTATTAAAATGTTTTAAGGTAAGTGAAGATAGAGATGTCCTCTTTTAAATGAAGTAAAGAAACTGTTGTCATTTCAGACTATGGAGTTCTCCCTATGTATACTGTACAGTTGAAATCTCAATGCCAAATGTATTATCTGAAATCAGTCAAAAACCTCATCTGAAAAAAACCCATGCATTATTCATACAAAGCATTGCCAGGCTGCAAAACAAGCCTGCTTTTTGTGCAGATGATCCAACCACATGAACAGTATAACTGGACATCTACCGATACCATGTGAACACTTTTCAAAATCTCCCTCAAAGTACCTGAATTGACTTGTTTTTATCAACTAACCTAGAACCTGCTAACAACCAAAACAAAATGTGACGTATAGCTTAAATTTAAAACAAAATATTTTAGCTGAAAACACACCTCTTCTTTTATATGTTTAAACAGTTCTGCTAAAAGACAAAATGCAATGAGAAGAACTTTAATATCATGCGATAACTCCATCAAGAGCTATTTACTTGGAGTAAATGTGTTGCTTTCTCTATGCTAAAGGACTACTTCATTCATTCATTCTTTCAATTCTATAGGCATTCTACTAGTTCTAAATCAAATCCAGGCAAACACTATATGGTTTTACCTTTTCAGTGAGGAAGGAAGGGAAATGTTCAGAATAAATCTGTCTCAGAACAGGGATATACAAAGTAGGATTCCTTGGCTAGATCACTTGCTTCACAGTTAGTTTGAAATTACATATTCAAAGGGCAGATTATGGCTAGAAACTGATTTAACTGTAATTTAGCCCTTACTTAAATGTCAAACACAGACTACAGTGAAAAAACTGCAATTTAAACCACAGTTTCCACTGCAAGGTAGGCTAAAGGACTTGTTCAGGTAAACAAGAAACTTAAAAAACTACTTCGACTACTTGTAACTGTCCACTCCTATTCACTGGCATCAATACGCAAGGGAAGGGTTAAGAAAATGAGACATAAAGCACCCAACACATAGTGCTAAACTATTTTATTTTATCATACTTCCTTTTGAAGTTTTGTCTGTAGTAGATTTATTCATCATTGCTAAATATCAAGGAACCAGATGTAAATTTAAATTCCCCACCTACAACTGATTCACTGCATCTTCTGACCAAGCTACCCAGAGTCTTCAAGCACTACAAACACAAACAGATCAGTGCAGCTTACTATTGAGCTTGCAAAACGGCACTGAACTGTGAACAGGGTAGAAGACAGGCCTGCTTAATTGGATCTATTGGCTTGACTACTAATGTACAAACAGGGTGCCAACTAGTGATTACTTGCACATCTGTAAAACTGACTTCTAATATGCACTGAGTTCTCCTAATGAAAACTTAGTAAAGAACGTGCTGAAGCAGCCAGAAAATTTAAATTGTATTTTCAATTGTTTCTAATGATTGATTGTTTTAACCTTAGAGAAAGGTTAAAAAAAATTCTCACATTTTTCTTACAAGAAAATATTCATACATGCTCATATAGACAGATCTTTCAATTATTTTTAATGAGACATTATGCCCCTGGTCTTTTCAGAACTCTCATTCAAGCATTTAATTGTACACTATGTAAACAACCAAGAATCCATTTCCTATGCTATTGTTCTTCTTCAAAACGTTTACAACTAGTCATCAACACATCACAAGTCAAGATTCTTCAGTACATAATATTGGTAAATGAACTCATAAATTTATATTCAATAGTTGCATGTACTGGCACTTGAAGAATTCCAGTAGTGGCTAACTAGCTCTAACAAACAGTATTCAAATTAGCCTGTTGCTTCTCTGAAAATTGAGGTGCCTTATCCATTTTTCTTCCACAGGCAATCACTCACAATCAGTAATGTATACTGCATGTATTACAGTAGTCTGGGTTTAAGGATATGCTGTTGTATATAATGTTTAATTAATTCCATGTTGATGCTGTTTCTGAAACATTTAGGGTACACGAACAAAACTGTGTACCTGTTGTGAATGACTGACACAGTTAAAACCATCGGCACTCTGAATACAATATTCCAAAGCCATTTCGGATTCTCAAATATCTCTACAGAAGCACTAAAATTTACTACTTCTACCCAAGAGTGGCGATGCTTTCTTCACAATCTATCAAGAACACCTTTTTAATCCAATTTTGTCAGCTATTCACTTATATTAAAGGAAATAGCCATCACAACTAACAACTTGTGCGATGAGAAGCAGCAAACGGACAATCACATTTCAGAAATTATACATAATGTGATCACCACCTACACTTTCACTGCTTTGAATAATGATCAAATGTCTTATTTTTAATTTATTTTTTTCACAGCAGAAGCAAAGCACTGATAACAAAGAAAACAGGTAACATTAAGGTACAGATGCTGGGGATTTTTGACTTTTTTTCTTTTTTTTTTTTTTATCTCCCTCAGTCAAAACCCAGTAATGCTTCTAAATTAAGATAAACTACAAGTATTTCAAATTTCCAACAGATCTATTCTGCAGGGGTCAAACAGCAAATTATTTTTAAACCCTTTCATTTTAGTATGACATTTTACAGAATGCATTCATTGTCCCTGTCAACTCATGTTGCTCATTTACTAATGTCTTCTCCTACTCTTTGCTCACCTTTCCGCAGTGGAATTCTTTCCTACTGAGCTGATAACTTTCTTTCCAGGCTTATAGCAATGCATTTTCTTCTCAGATAGGCTTACAAGTCAGCAGCTTGATGACATACTCAACTTACCATCAGCCCCAGGAACAATAAACCTACTACTCTAGTGCACTAGTACATTACCTCCAAGGCGACATGCATTCTCTCAAGATTGCTTCAGAATTTCCCCACCCAATCATTTTAAACAAATTATAGATGCCTGGAGCAGCTATCTGCAGGCAGCATACACATGACTGGCTCAACCTCCATCAAACACCGTTACCTATAGGGCTCAGAAAAACGATACAACAAAAACAGGTTTTAGGCAATACTTTAAGTTATAAACACTATGATGGCTTGTTGATGGCCCATGGGGGCGATGAGCTCAGTACCCCAAGTAAGCCTTGAGGTAGTACCTATTATTTATTTTGACTTATCAGCTTCCCAAGAAGCAGAGTGGAAACCTCACACAATTCCAGTGCCATCTACCTGTTAACAGAGTTTGCCATTCCCTCTCACCAGTGATGGAGCATCAGTCATGGTTGCTAGAGACACAAAAATATAAACGTGCTAAGTTTTATGCAGTAGCCGTAAGTATGCTAAAGGTTTGTTGTTTAATAGTTTGGGTTTTTTTAAATCTGTCTCCTCAGTCATCTACAGACCCATTTGTACGTATTTCAGCCTTAATGTACGTAATGCTTTTTAATGTATTCTATGTTGCTATTTTTCACTATTTCTGCTAACGGCAAATTGTATGTATTTTCACTTTCAAGCACAAAATAAAAAAATAAAAATCACAGTTAAAGGCAAAAAGACTTTTTTTGTAGCACCTGATGCAGCAGAAGTATATTAAGAGTGATCCGAACATAGCTAATACAATAATTACTTCGACCTGAGAGCGAAATGACAAGTTGCAGGAAAAGCGAGAAAGCTAACTAGAAATACTTACGTTGTGTTTCTACTATTCTTTTAAAAGGATTAGTGATTCTGTTTAAGGTTAAGATTAGTGACAGTTATAACAACAAAATGTCAATATATAGAATTTAAACTTTTCCATTGCCTCTTACTGAACTATGGTTTTGAACTTAATACTATATTATTATTATAAAAAATTAAGGAGGGGTTCCCATCCTGCACTGCTCACAAGTGTTCAAAACTGTGGTTTAAGCCCGAAAGAATCATACAACAGGAAACAAACAAACAAACAAAAAACAAACCCCGTGAGGACAAAAGTCATAACATACAGTGATGTTTCCTACATTATCTGCAAGTGTTAAGCAAAAGACATCTTGAAAACAAGCAACTAACCTATGGCAACCATGAAGCAAAGAAAAACGTTTTTCTTGCATCCTCAGATCTGTAACCATGTGATTACGAGGGTTTTTTTCTGTTTACTTTTAAAATATTTATGGTCGCAAATAATATTTTATAAATCAGAACTCTTAAGATTAAATCCAAATGCTAGCATTTTCAATCCAATTGCTCTTTTGTAAATAGTAGAGCAGTGAGTACTAGGAGGATCTGTGTTTCCTGAAAAATAATACTCAAAAGCAAAGAACTGTAACAACATATATTCAACGCCTTTCTCATGTTCTTCTCGCTCACCTTCTTCCAGTGTTCTCAAACTCTAAGTCCTGATTAAGGGAAATCTGGACTTTCTCTCCCAGATTAAAAATTGTTTAAGAAAATAGATGGACAAGATCTCAGTATCACTGTATACCCAACTTCTGAAACTATTACATTGATGTTTATTATTTCAGTTCACCAATATCATGGTAATTTTCACATAGTTGCATGACTAGGTACCCCTTCCCCTTACTCTCCCCAGTGCCTTTAAAGAAGAGGCCATTATATTCTGCAAAATATTTTCAATTAGATTTTGAGCTGCAGGATGTTTTTAAAAGCCTCATATTCAGTTCCACAAATATTTTCCAATTATCTCCAAAATAATGTAAAAATTCTGAATACAGAAGAATCACAAACATGAAGGCAGTAAAATTGATTCCAAATCTCATTATTTTAGCTCTATCTTTCTAGGCATACCAGCATGGGTATTTAACTAAAAAAATGTCTCTGAAATTCTCCAGTTTATCAGAGAACGGCTTGCTTTGTGGTGACTTTACAAGGAAGAACAGCTGGAAAAAGCCTTGAAATTGTACATTCCAATTAAAAGTGATACAGTCCAGATCATTGTAATGTTTGTCAAAGGGATAAATTACAAAGGATCCTTTTACTTCCAGTCAGACAACCTATTTTTGAGAGAAGTTTCAGTGATAGTCACAGACTTCACCTTTTAATCACAGTAAGGATTACCTGCTTCGACATTGAAGGAAACCAAATAGCTTGAGCAGATTTAATATTCAGGTTTGCTTTAACCTGAATTCAGATCAAAAGACCTGCACAGAATAGCAATAAAAATACATTCTTTAGTACAACAGCATTAATTTTATGGAGTGTTTATATTAAGTAGCTTAGTCAGTTACATCCCATGATCAAAAAAGCAAAGTGGTTGTCAGTTCTTCTCTGGCTACAGATAGCAACCCATAACAAGAAAGACAATGCGTGGTGGTGGTGGTGGGGAAATCACTTTTCTTTCTCAGCTTTAGCTGTTACTTTTAAAATATTTTATGGTTTAAGCAATATTCTAAGGGCTTATCAGCAACACAGTTCCAATAAAATAGTCACCTAGGAATAACCTATGAAGACATACAAGCATTTCATCAAGAACAGAAATATTTTTTTCCTATTTCTCCATGATTAAAAAGTAATTTAAAACTACACTGTCACTTGTATGAATAGGTTATTAAAATAGTCATTTTATTGCATTTTATTCACCAAGCTGACAGCAAGTCCAGTGCAGTTGAAACACGTAAAGAGAACTGAGCATGCTGTACAGTTTGCTCATACAAAGTAGGTCCAATTTCATGTTCTTGCAATGGACCTGCTACACAAATATTGCAGCATACTATCTGCACATTTATGGCAGTCATTCATACAGGACTTCTGGATGTGGTGGTGAAGCACTGGAACAGGTTGCCCAGAGGGGTGGCGGAAGCCCCATTCCTGGAGGCATTCAAGGTCAGGCTGGATGGAGCTCTGAGCAACCTTATCTAGTTGGAGATGTCCCTGCTCACCACAGGGGGGTTGGACTAGATGACCTCTAAAGGTCCCTTCCAGCCCAAATGATTCTATGATTTTATGAGTGAAATTCCTGGAAAAATGTCCCAAAGCAATAATAAAGTAGATGAGGTTAAAGTGTCAGAAGGCAACTGGATCATTGTCCTGTTTCAACAATCACAACTAACATATGACATTGCACAGACAAAGATATTGATTAGCATAGCACAGCTGACAAGTATTTACACCAAATAGTTTCTAAAGAATCATAAACTCTTTGTTGTCTTCCATTTCTCAACTCATAAGGCCAAAGTTCTTCTGTAATACAATTTAATCAATAGTTCCCTCCTTGGAGAGTTGGAAGCTAAACTTCTGAAGAGACAGGTAGCAGACTGAGGCTCAAGAGAACTGCAAGAAGCTAAAGTGCTCAAGTATGGTCCGAGTCCATGTCAGTAAATAAATTCTAAAAAGGAGACATGGACTTGACTGGAGCAACTTGCTTTCAAATACAGAGTCAGCTCTAAAAATCAACAAGTATACTTAACTTCCTCCAGATAACTGAAAATTTGAGTAGATCAGCATATTTTTGGAAAATGCCATACAGTCACCCCCAAATGATTTTGAGACATTATCTCATGTCCGGCAAGGCCAGCGTTGGGTTCAAGTTACTGGCCTAACAGAAAAAGTTCATTCTGTGTTCCACTCTCCAGCAACTCCACCCCTTGCTCCAGGTGCACAGTGCAGAAAAACCTCAGTAAATCCACATCACCTCTGGCAAGACTTCCTGGCTTGAGTTAGCTTTGGAATCAATTCAATCAGATCCACGTAGCACTGCACCTGAGCTAGGATAGCTTGACTCATGTTTGCTCCCATAACCAACAAGGTTTATCTGCAGACTGGATACATTACATAGTCATAAAAGAGAGCTGACTTGTCTGATAGCAATTCACACCATTGGCTAAACTTACTCCATTTCAGTATATTTCTAATAATTTATTAAAACTTTCAGCTTTAAGACCTAATTTTACATATTCTCCTGTTTTAACATAAAACTTTGTGCCTTTCTGTTTATGTGGTGTGAAAATGAAAGACTGCAGGACTCATTTATAAAACAGCCTCTATAGGCTACAAGAGCAACTTGGAAATTGACTGCAGAGTTACCAAATTCTGAACATATCATATCTAATCATTCACATCTTTCCCACATGCATTAATTTGTATGATATGCCTATGAAGTAAAAATAAGTAGCCCATGTTACAAACAACAAAGCAAAAAAGCAGCAGTAAACATGGGAACTGTAGCACAAAAATATGTGCTATTGATAATGTTACAACATACTACTGAATATAGTAATAATTGCAATATGATTAATGTAAAAATGAGAAACCAATAGTAAATTTTAAATTCCCTAAAGAGTTTCCTATTCAAGATTTATCAGCCTTATAAAAAAAAATTCAGCGAGAAAGATATGGAAAAATTATGCAACTTTCTGTTTTACAATTTCTCTTGTCTGTGTTGCCCTTTCAGCCTTTAATATAATGATGTGCTCATAAAAATAACAACTCTCAGTCTCATTGAAGAATCTGTATACAATCTCAAACTACTTTTTGTTCATTTACAGAACCAGCTATTTCAAGTGTGTTCATGAGAGCTACAAAGTGCATATCCCCGTTTTGTGACATTATTAAATATACCATCATTAGCATGGTCACACTGATTGTAGTAGTTTGTCTGCTTCCTAATGACTGCATTTACTGACTTCACCTTTACTTAAGTTCTAAAAGATTTTCTTTTCAAGATGCTGTGTATCCAAATTGCTTAGTATTTGACCCTTCAGTTAACGATGTAATTTAACAGATAACATAAGTCAAGGAGTTTGTTTCCATAAAAAGACCCTTGCATTTTTTTTTCAACAAGTTGCAACAATTTTCAAGAATGAAATAGTACAAACAGCAAGTGGTTACAAACCAAGCATAGTTTGTATTTTCTTTATTGAGAGCTTTATTCTTTTGGATAGAAATAACATTTATTTCTCATTCCATTTTATTAAAATTCTCAGCATTGATTTATCTAATTTTCATAAACATATGAAGTTTTAAAAATAAAACTTAGTCCTCCTTAAACTGAAATGTTAATAACAGTTATTTAGCAACATCATAAAGCAGCATAGTTAGCCCAAAGAATTTTGTCCAGTTACTAATTTATGTGATTAGGGGCGGAGGGGAAGGAAGTAACAAAACTTAAAGACTATATTTTCTTCCTAATTTTTCAAATATATGATCTAGTTGGAAGTTACACTCATAACACTAAAGTAAGATTTGCTCCTCAATAAAAGGAACACTAAACTAGGAATTAAAAATATTAGACCTCCTTCATTTCTATATTGAGCTCTTACTGTATCTAATGACAATTATTCAAAGGTATGTGGAGATCCAGAACATATTTTTAAAATCCTTTATCACTGAAGGAGTTCAAAGTCCATGACAGAATTTTACTTAAGATGACACTGAACAAAACAGCATTGTATTAACTACTTCAGAACATGAAAAATTTTGATTAAAGAAGATAGAGCAAAATGTATTTTGTTTCTGTGTATTCCTTAAGCTTGTATCACTTGAAAGAAAAAAAATGTTTTACTCATGCAAACTCTTCGGAAAACAGTACAGTGCTGCACCAATGGTGATGAGCCATTATTACAATTTATACTATTATAATCACTTTCTTAAACTGTTTTTCTTTAGATATTCTTACCAAATGTTACTTCTCCACTGCCACTCTTGTCAAATAACTGAAAAGCAACAATGAATATTGCATCTGGAGTACACAAAACAGATTCAAATGCCAAAAATTCTTGATAGGAAATCAACCTACAAAGGAAAATACAGAAGTTATAAAGATTTCATAAAATTACTCACAACATCAATGATATTTTGGTTTTGTTGCTCTAGAAAACTCTATCATTAAAATTCTAACATAAAGACTCTACATTAGAAACTGAAAAAGTATTTGTTACATTTAAGTAGTTACTTAACCTTTACGCAACTCAGTTTCTTCTTCTATAAAAGGACTGAATTCTTCATATCTATCAACAACTAAATATACTCAATTCTCAGTGAATACCTACAATTTATTACCTTGTAATTATAAACGTAAGCAGACAGCACTTAAAAATTAAAACATAAAAAACCCACAGAAATTCTACAACCATGAAATTTACAGGGCTGTCATCATATTACTAATTTATATATGAATTTCCACTGAGAAAGAAAAGTTAGTTTAATGCAAGTATAGAAATATACTCTACAATATATGTATTTTCTTAAAACAATGTATAACATTCACAAAAACCAAACAGGTTCAGCAACAGTTATACTTTACCATGTATATAGAAAAAATATTACACTTCATATACAACATGAACCGCAAAGTCATGTACTTGAGGACAAGACAGAAACTATAAGAACATCTGGACATAAGGACAGTTACACATGACCAAGGCAGAGAAGGATTTGAATGTAACAGCAGATCACAAGATTCTGAGCTGTGTATGCAAGACAGTCACCATATAGAAAAATGCAACTCAGGATGCATTCGGAAAGCTGTTTCTGCGCGAGACAGGGAAGCAGCAGTATCCCAGATAGGGTTCCCACAACATCTCTGGAATACTGCAAAGAAATCCAAGTCCTTGTGTTCAACACATATAAACTCAGACTTGAATGTATGCACAGGTAACTTATTAGGATAATGATAAATATCTTTTCTAGAAGAACTCAGCTTATTCTGACTAACAGAAGAAACACTTAGAAGGGATCCTAATGCTGTATTTAAGAACAGTTGCAGAAAGATAAGCCTGAAGCCACGAGAAGATAAAGGATAACGTTGGCACAAGAACAAAATCACATATCCATAAAGATATTTAAAGCAGGCATATACTGTCTTTCCAGAATACTGCAAGCAAAAGCCTTAGGTTTTAACAGTAAACTTGATATATTAAAACTACTGTGTGTTTACATCCTTGTAAAAGTAGGGGACTTAAGCCTGGTAACTTAGAATATTCCTAGAAGTTCCTGAGCTCAGTTTATAGAAATAAATGATGGGATATCTATTTTAGCATCAAATAAATTATCAACGGGAATACGAATTTTAATTATATTTTTAAAGTTAAAGAAAATATTACTATTTCGGTAGATGCTGTTAAAACATAGAATATCACTGTAGATGGTACATCTTCCTAGAAAATGTACAGAATTTATCTCAATTTAGTACTCTTCATATGAGATCATTAGCTCACAGTGATTACTTCACTGCTTCACACATATACTGCCTACTGCTAAAGGGCCAAGCATAATCTGTTCCCTACAGAGAAAAAAGGGAAAAAAAAAATCAAGCTACACTATGCGTTATTTTATCTAGTCTTTCTCTATCAAAGTACACATAAAGCAGAATTGAGATACTTTAAACAAGGTTACATATGTTAACATTCTTGCATATATGCATTATACAGAAAATACAGGAAAAAAATGTAGTCATTTTGGAAGGAATTAAGATATGGCAAATACAGAATTATGATATTAATTTGTCACACTTTAGCCACAAAAATCAGAGATCTCAGAATGGTTCTTCAAATGCAAAGTCAATTTCATCCAAAGGATGACCTTGATAAAGAAGGGTTTAGTATCAGAGAAACAGAATATCCTTTAAAATAATTCCAAATATTATCATTTCAAAATATACCGCATATACAAGCATAAACCTGACATACAAATTAATTCCTAACCAGGAAGCTTTAGAACTGACAGAATCAAGTGACGATCTCTGCAGAATGCATTCATAGAAGCCTGAACCTGAAAGAAGCCGTCTTGAGAGGCCTCACTTTAACAGTGCCTACAGCAAAAGGAGATAGACTCATTCAATTTCCTTCCCATATATTCAACTTGCAATGCCTAAAAGCGGGGATATACCCTGTGATCCTCTATTATCCCTTAGGGTGGAGATAACAGGAGGTGGATTAAACAGAATGATGGAGCTTCCCACCCAATCGCTACCCAAGTACCATTCAGCGAATGTTACAGAATAAGTTTAATCAACCTAACTTTTTATTTCTATTCTATTCTTTTAAATGTATTGTTTTGTCTGGATAACTTCAGCTAGCTTTAGTTAGCAGGAGAAGGAATTCCAGGTTATATATCATAAACTCATCCTCACCTGGTTGCTTGGCTACAGGGGGGTCTGGAAGAAGATAAGGAGGAAACTTTGTCAGCAGAAGCTGCAAACCATTGAGATAAGGACAACAAATGTCCCGTCAGGAGTTTGGAGGCAGAGAACCAAAGCGAAACAGCTGAGCCCCCAGACCACAAATTATCATTGGACCAAGAGGTGCGTGGACAGCGCGTGAAGAGACTGACCATTGGACTGAAAGGCGCATGAAGGGCGCATGGAGAGGGGGTGCATAGATTGTAAGGGTTTAAAAACCCAGGTTTCCTTTGTTTCGGGGTCCCTCTCCGGAGGCAGCTCGAGCTGTCATTCTGCTGTACCATCCAAATAAATTAATTATTTTTCTAAGATCAGAAGTCTGAGAGTCTGCTGCGGGAAACCTGGGGTAAAGAGATTTCTTTAACAGTGAACCTGCTGCATTACAGAGTCCATAACAATATCAAATCACTTACCTTTCATTTTACCTGTAACATTTTTAAAAATTCCCTTTACTCTTACTTCGTCTGCATCGTTACCCTTCAAAAGGACACAAAGTCAGCCATGCATTTACAGTTCTTCTCTTTCCTTTTTTCCTACTATAACTCTTTGCTCTTTTTTCCCCACACACAGCTTTTAGATATTATGTATAGCTCTGTTGTGACTCTCCATTATGTGGAACATCAACTTAGCTTAAGAACACATTTCCAAATTTTAAGAATGACATGCTGATAAAAAGAGTACCCAGAAACAAGCAATTAAGAATTTTGAATGACTACTGTGAAATTTTGAAGGTTTGAAGGGAGAAGAAAATACTTGATTTTAAAACTGCAATACCTACTAATGTTAATTGACTTACGTAATTGGGAAGCTGGTTTTGGCACACATATATAAGTATAATATTCGGAGAGAATATTTATCCTAATTTCAAAACTAGCGCCTGCAGTCTGAAGACACAGGAATGCTTACAGCATCACTGAAACCCCATCGTATTAAGCAGATAGCAGACAAGGCAGTTTAGACCAAATTCTAATTTAGAGCTCATCACATTAATTTTTCAGAACATGCATTTGTAACAATGAAGAATAAACACTCCGAAAGTGAACAGGTGTCTGTTTTAAGAAATACCTTACAGAATTCCACTAAAGCAAATCAGTCTTGTACTGTCTAATGGGAGAAGGCAATAGTACTCTGGAACAGTTAAGTAAGGATCAAGTCACCATCATAAAAAAAGTAAAAACACATTTTTTTAAACATATGCCTACAGACAGCCAGTTCCAAAATGTGTTTTTCTAAAGTGCCACACTTAAACCTAAATGAAATTAAAAAATATTAACAAAGAAAAGTTACCAAGAACACTTTGAGCATTTCTTTGAAGGGCAAGCAAGGCTCAGAGAATATGATAGCAGATATATGAATGAAATTTTGTAACAGAAACCAAAGCTTCTCAATGACTTGCTGTGTGACATTGGGCTGTCATTTAATCTCATTTAATTTACAAATGTATGTATGGAATAGGACTCCTGATACTTCCTTGGACTTCATAAAGTAACTTTAAGTCCTTGGAAAGATGCAATGCATTCCGGAATTCAGCTGAAGATTACAATAATTATTCATGTTACACATTAAACTCCTTGTGCAGATTATATAGTTATTACAGTCTGGATTTTGATATATTACAGCTCACTACAAGTGGAAGAATGCAAATGTAGAAGTAAATAAATAAATCAATGATGATGATAGGGGTATAAAAAATTCTTCACATGAAATACAGATAAGAGATAAATATAGATTAAAACATTTAGGAAAGTAAGTTTCAGACAAGTATTCAGACAAACATTTTGCACTGCAGACCATATGGTAGTAATTCCCACTCCCACTGTTCCCATACAGAAGTAGACAAAACACACTTACCCATATTTGATTACCTCACTTCAAATATTACTCAGATTAAAAAAAAAAAAAAAAAAACCACAAAAAAACCACAAAACAACAAAAACTTAATATTCACAGGGAAAGCGACAAAAAAGGTGTTACTTCAATATAAAGTTCTGTTGTAGCAATAAAATAAATTATTGATTTCTTACTGTGAGAAAGATCCTTTTATAAGACATTTTCTGAAGAAATACACAATGTAAAAGATAACCAACAGCTTTCAGAGAAACAAGATACTTAACATGTTGGTTTACTAGTCATCAATTAGACTATTATTTCAACAGATACATACAAAATAGCCTAACAATGCAACAAACTGCAGCCATGCATTGCAAACAGAGAGGTTATTTGGATTTATCAAATGTATTATCAAAAGGCTGAAGTTTTATTAAAAAAAAAAAAATCATGTAACATTACATCATACAAGAGATCCTACATTTGTAATTTACTGTAAAATGTATACAGCATATAAAATTTCATACTGTGCCAGCTGCTTAGGATACAATGTAAACTAATAAAACATTCTAAAGCAGAATACAGGAAAACAAAAATATTTAAGTGATGTCAAAGGTCAGATTTAGACTCACAAATCCAAGGAAGTTAAGCGGCTTTCAATTTAAAAGACGTTACATCTATACATTTACAAAGATATTGTACACTTTTTTAACAGCAACTTTCTCTACTCTACAAAATACCAACTCCCTTTTGCATTCTTGACCTTTCTCTGATCCACCTTAACTTGCTCACTTCACTTTAACAATGTCCATGCTTCCTACTACAACCCAAGGCCAAAACTAGAAGTCTACAAACAGCAAGAAAAAAGGCTCCTTTGAAGACCAGTGAGTTAAAGGGTACTACCTCAGCGGAGTGGACATTTTGTAAATTAGTTTCAGAGAACTGTCTAAAAGCAAGTAATATAATCTGTACGCAGAGCTGGAAAAGCTGTATGTGGCGTGACCTTATCTTGATTAGGCAAACACCACCTTCCTTCATAGAGTCATTAGTGTCTCTTTTTCCTAATAGCCAGCACTTTAAAAAAAGATCTCAGTGCACACTACAGAAATAAGAAAGCTTTTCCGTATTTCCATGTTTAATTACAGGTACTAAAGACTCTACATAGTATCTAATCATGGACCTGAGCATACAGAAAAGAACTTTTCCAAGGCAGTCATACTACATTAAACTTATTTGCTGTTCAGCTTCCTCTGCATTTGTAGTAACTGTTAAAACTCCATTAAAACAAATCTTAATTTTAAAAAAATGCATGTTAAACACTGTATTTTGCCCCAATTTCCACAATTTTATGGTCTATTGTACTTCAGAAAAAACTTACCATCTAAATAAACTTAAAGTGTAATAAAATCAATAATGCATTTTAGAAGATGAAATTATCAAATTTGTTCATTCATGCATTTACCAATGCATTACAAGCTTCTAATGGAAAGCAAAATTCTCACCCATCCTTAGTTTGATCTGCCACTCCAGCCAACAGCTGCACTGTCTTAGGATTGTAACGTGGATCTGTATAAAGTCCGAGGTATTTTTGCACAAAATCTTCTGGGGTCATGTAACGCTCACCATCTTTCTCAACACTGGCATACTAGAGTAAAAATAAAAAATAAAACCGCACAAACAAAAATTAATCTATTTAGATGCTAATTATCAGTGATTACCAAACTAGTATCTTTACGGAATATCATATAAAATGGTGCAGAACTGTCTGCATCTAACTGCTCTGAAATTAAAGGGCTTGATTAAACTAATAGCGTTACTGTACTAGTTGCATACCACCAACAATCAGATTATCCCTGTGGAACAGATGTGTTCTGTGACCAATATCTTCTAATAAAAAGACAATTACATATTTTCAGAAACTGTCAGGCAATTGCATAAAGTTACAAAAATTAGTCATGTTGTAGCTTTCCATTGGCAGCTACACTGTGAAAACACAGCACATAAATTTTCTTACAATTTGTAGTAGCACGTATCTCCTGAGTAATTGTTCCTGATCATTACTAGTCTGGAAGATATGTATTATTTCTTTTTGCGAGAAATAAATTTTCAGATTAATTTTTTCCTAAAACTAATGGGTTCGGCATTTTTCATCGAAGTAAAAATTCACACACAGAAACAAAAAGGATTTGAGTCATTTGAAATATTTTAATTTGATGTTGAGTTTTAATTTTATTAACAATAAATTTTCAAATAAAAATCACAGGCAAATTTTAAATTATAGAATTTAAATATTAATAAAACTAACTAAAAATAAAATAATCAAGTACATCTTTATTACTTGTAAACCAAGATACCTGCCACATGTCTTTATCAGTATTCTTACTGATCACTTTTCTGTTTCAAATCATTAATCACTGGTTCTTATCTACAGGTCAACTTTTAATTTAAAGTGAACTTTTTATCATAAAGTAAATTCCATGCCCTCAGCTGTCCAGTTATGCTGGGTAATACCAATCTTGAACTAAGAACATGAGGAGGGAGGAGTAGAGAGTATCACAAATGATGAATAAAAGGGAAACGTATTATGGAAGTTCATACCCCTCAGATCTTGTTTCAAGATGGCACTATAGTTGCAGGAAAAATTTCTTGTAATTTATTTATGATATGACAGTAATCTTACAAAGAAAACCTAAGTTTTCAGATTGCAAAGTTAAACTATGTTTGCACCCTGGAACACAGGAAAGTAGCTCACAAAAGACTTCTTGTTCCCTAAACTACTGTGACCCAATCCAGTTTGATAACTGAGTTTGTTACTCAGCATTTTTGCTCACAAAACCTGTAAGCAAGCTTATTTAATAGTTTAAAATCCACCTCTTCTGTTCAATCTCTACTGTACAGTCTACTTGTACACACAATGATTCAGATGCAGACCTTCAAACACATACACAGAACTGTGTTCATTCTGAGAAAGTGAAGTTACAAAACCACACAGCGATTTCATTAGAATTTTGATTTCCAATAAAAGTAGTCATTTTTAATTCATTTGTGAAAATGTAATTCACCTTTCTAGGTTCTAGTCATTAAAAGATGACTACATAAGCATTTTATGCAGAAAAAGAAATGGCAATGTTCCCCAAGACCTATAGTGCAACAGCTATGCTACTGAATTCAAACTTCAATTAATGGCCTTATCTGTAATTTCTAACTTTTCCACTATATACTGCAGTATCTTGATTCAGTTGACACAGCTTTATGTGAAAGAGTAACAAAATGGGTGCTTATTCTGCCAGGGACCCGCAGGAATTAGAATATTAACAAGAAGACCCCCATACAATACCTGTTAAGGTGTAACACTCCGTTACGATCAAGGGGATCATTCACATCTCTCATGCTTGTTTCAGCCACATGCAACTCAACCAATTCAGTCAGGGCACTATTTCAGCATAAAGGAGCTTGCATCAGCATCACTGCCTGCTTAAGCATCTCCCGTATCTCTTAGACAATACCAGCCCCTCACATCACCTCCTCACCCCTGCCTCTTCCACCCTGTAGCTGTGATGACAGCTGTTTGCAAGACTGCACTGTAAAGCAGATTACTGAACTAATACAGAATTAAAATAGATTATTTCCACTAAAATAGGAAAAGCAGTGGACAGGAATCCTTTATTCAGCACTGCTGCCGACATGACAACATAATGAAACTGTGGCTTCACTGAATCAACTCAGAAAGGTTCTCTTTTGAGTTGTATACACAAGTGACTAAAAATGCATTATGAAGCACAATTCTGCTGCAAGATGTTCAATCCAAACAAAGTTTTAAGTATGAAGGACCATGAAACGTGCAGAGTATTGAGTATATCTTCAAGAATAATGGAATTCAACTGTATGAATGCATATCAAAGACAGCCAAATCTAAATGTTTTCATCATCTTTTTTTCTTCAGATACCAATTTATCTGAGTTTACTACAAATAGTGAATTGTTTTACAATAAAAACCGTGTGGTGGAAGTTTTGTTAAAAATTTTTGAGACAAAAATAATTAACTGACAGATACACTGAGCTCCATATGAGAAGGTCATAGCATTTTGAAAGAGCTTGGCAGTGAGCCAACAAATTAAGGCCTGACAAAGTAGCTAGGCATGTATTTACATTTGTCCTCAAGTTACCTTTTCACCATACAACTTAAGTCAAGAATCTTTTAGCAGAAAATAGGCAATTCTAAATTATATCTTAATTTTTATATAAAATATAACACATAAATTAAATCTTTATTTTCCTCAGTCTTGAATTATATTACTTTATAAACACAAAACTCTTACTATAGATTTATAGACTGTCTCAAGTAAGCACTTGATGAATTTGCATGAGTTTTTTTTAAACATCATCACACAACAAGAACACACAAAAACCCTACTCTAGTTGTACAATACAGTGCTAGGTATCACCACACTTTCAGAAACAATGCTTTCTTTGAAAAAAATGGTCAGTTTTCAATTTAAAGGGGTTTTCTATCCCAATGATTTTATCTGGGCAGAGGAAAAATAAGTTCCAAAACAAGAGACCTATAGGTACTCTTAACATTTTTTTTTTCAATTAAGCTAAGCTATGAGCGAGAGATTTAGGACATTTTTAAGCAGAGGGAGGGAATTTCCTGTATTAAAATTGGAAATTTGTTTTTATTTCTTCCTCCACCTTGCTGAAACAGGTTCCGCTTGCATTCAGCAGGCAGGGAATAATTCACCTATATTCCCCAAGGGCTGTCTGTGTCTTGCCTAAGAAAAAAGAATGAAGGCTTACTAAGAAATCTGATAACTGTTGTCCTACATAACTCTTTCATCCTTCAGTGAATTTCTATTTTGTTCTTTTATGGTTGTTACTGAAGTCCGTGGTTAGCAAACACCTGAGAAGTAACTTATTTGATGGTGCACAGACATGAAATTTCAATGCCTGCGTTTCATAGTTACAGGATTGCATAGAAATAATCGCACATCTTTTTAATACAAGTCAAACTTAAGATTTTTAATAGTTGAAAATAACGAAAAGAAATCTATAGCAAGCTTCAGAAATTCTAAGAGAAAGGTATATATCAAGCATCCATTAAGATACAACTTAAACTGGATGGACAGAGGGCATGTATCACATTAGAGGATACGCATGAACAGAAGGAAATTCAAGTACACTATGAATAAGGTGGATGACGAAGAGGCCTAGAGTTCACATCTTCCTTTCCGCCGATTTCCAAGGGAAGCCAAATTTAGGAAGGAATGCACGACCTTTAGCTGAAGCTCACAGAACAGGCCAGCACTCTCTGCAAAGAGCACAACTATCTGACCCCTGATGTGTGCAACACTAGCAATATTTCATAACAAGACTCTCTACAACTTAGTCCTGGAAAGAGCGGGTTCTCTCTTGATTTTTTTTTTAAAGTTTGCAACTAAGTTTGCCTGCTACCTATCAAATAAAAAACACAATTTCAAACTCAATTATAATTAAATGTAATCCAAAACAAATACAAACTCTCTTTCTATGCCAGAGGTGTCTGTGTTCTCTTTTTTCACTACAAATCTCAGATACTCAAGAGGAGACAGGAGAGCTTTTGTAATTTTCATTCCTCAGAACACAAAACTTAATTTGCATGTTTCTTTGAAGATTACAAGACAGATATGGAGAAGACCAAAAAGCTGTTTCAAAAGCAGACTGTCTGCTTTTCATGTCAATAAAACATATCTTGTCAGAGAGACAATTTCAAGATCCAGTTGCACAATGTTCTTCCTCTCCACTTTTGCCTGTATGATCAAAATCAAGGGCTTAAAAGAATTAGTTATTTCCAGAAGCAAGCACTTCTACTGACTAGAAGTCAGGAATCATAAAAGCCCACATTTCCAAGTTGAATAGAGTATTTTGACAGCATATTTCACTTTTTTGCAATCAAACATGCAAAAGTATCTTGCAAAAAGTTGGAAGAGAGCTGTGTGGTGTTCTAGAACCACACACTTTTATACTGTATCAATATAAATTTTTAAAATCATATTTTCACATTGCTTATTTTATTAACATACTCTACTGTATTCCTTATCTACAAAAGCTAAATGTCATGTCAACAATAAATGAACCTGTGATGGAAGATTTTTTACGAGAAACTAAATGCTGGGCTTTCACAGTTTGATTCCAAAATTCTAAGTTTTACCACTCTAGCAATGTTACCAGTGTAATCCAGTATGCAAAAGTAAAAAGCAGCCAAAATTATGGCAACTATCTCTCTCAGGTAAAAAACTCTGTCTGTCTACTTATCATATGTGGAAACTGCTAGATAATATGGTAGGACCAAAAGATACATGTCAAAGATGAAATAATAGATTTTATTGTTTACAGTATCACTCTAATACTTAATTTTACATTCTTTCATTTTTCACAGAGGAAAACTTCTTGAATATACTGTGTAACACTCAACATAAAGGGAAATGAAAAAAGTATTTTAGTGATTTTGGAAATATCAGTGGCCCAACTATGGACCTAAAACATGGCTGTTGTTCTTATTCCTTCTGCCTGATTCAAACCTTATTATCAAAGTTTTAGGATTTTCCTTTCAGGTTGTGCTTCACTGTAACTAAGGGGAGTGGAGAAAGCTTCATGCTGCTATTTATATATGTTAATTCTAAGACTCTGCAAGGGATAATATGAAATACATCAATCTTAAGAAATCAATTTTAAGTTCTAAAAATATTGCCAGTTGTCCATTCATTAGTAAGAAGAATGCATATAAACCCCAAGGACAAAACATACAGGCATGGAAGAAGAGTTTTTTAGAATCTTGCAAAAAAATAACAGTACTTAGTTATGGTTGTAAGTAGTTGTTTTATAGGAAATTAGAAAATACTTCAGAAAATTATTTAAGATTATCATTTGGAAATGGTTAATCACGATTTACGACAGAAGAAGTTTCTCCTTAATGCTTGATGGCCCTTTCAACACACTGTGCCTGCAAAGTGAACTTCTAAGCGTCCCAAAAGCTTGACACATGTATGATGCCATGGCAAACTGCTGAAAGGGCAAAAAATAAAAGTCTGTCAGTCAAATAACATTAGACAGATCTTTTTACCTGCAAAAAAATACTTCGTAGTT